ATACTGGTTAAATACGTCTTTAGGTCCATTCAAGGTTTCCCAAGTAGAGTATGAAAATAACGTTGACCCCATATATATATGTGACTTCGTTTTTATAATTTGCGTTGTGAAAGACAAAAACGAGGGTAAAAAGTACTCTACTCAATGAGTTTCTGATTTTGTAAAGATATATGTGTTTTATTGGTAAAGAGAAGTTATAACAAGGTTTAGACTTTTTTCAGACACCTATACACGAGGAAACGGCTTGTATTAGTAGGGTAGGAGTGTCCACACCGTATAGGTCTCGACTAATTCTGTCAGGTACTAAATAGTGTCCCACCGGAATCCGACCGGTGTATATTTTCCCGGTGAAGAATTTTGCACGTAAAAGAAATACCAAGACCCCCCACCAGGCTTTTGGTTAGTCATAGACCCACTCCCAATCCAATACATTACCACTTAGCTCACCGGTACCACACACACATACCATACCCGTCGTATGTCAACCCGTTTTTTTTCATATCACGATCGGTGTTAAACAACGTTCAAGAAAGGGTGAATTATTTCTACTCTACAGGAAATTAAAGTAGAATTCATGTGAAGTTAATACTCTCTGTCTTAACCCCCCTTTTCTTAGGTACCTTATAGTGTTAAATCCTAAAATTAGATAATTACCATTTAAGAAGCCTTTATCTCATAAACCGGTGGATGTTTGTTTGTTTTAAAGACCGAGAGTGTCGGAACATTTAAGAGAAATTCTTGGAGGAGACAGGAGGTGAACAATTGACATAATACCGTGGACAAACTTGAGCAATAGTCATATTTTTCTTGGCAGTGTTGGAGTTTGTCAAGTGTGAGGTTTGAGGTGATACCGGTTCTGGTTTCTCGACAGTTTCTCTGTGGTCGTTGGTGTTAACATCTGGACGTGGTCGACCCTTCTGACTAGACGTTATCCATTCGTCGAAACCACTTTTTAGTTGACATAGTTAATAATCTTTTATTTGTATGTTCTGATGACTATTGTTTCGATGGTAGTCATGTGGATGGGCGGTCCGAGTTTAGGACGTCACGGTCTGCACAGGGGGACGAATTCTATGTAAGGTCGAGCTTGCACCGATTCTTCAGTGAATCTAGTCCAGCGTTGGAAAACTAACCTTCTCGCCCGACGCAACGCCGTCCGAGGAAGACGTTCCATTGCCCCTCTGCGCCGAGACCGCCTCAAGAGCAAGTCCTAGGCCCTTTTTTTTACAGTTATAAGTGTGAATAAGGTGAATAGATCACGGTAGACCAATGACGGAGGTTACGACGTGCGCGGTCCACACGGTTAGGGATAAATCTAACTAGGTCCTTCTCTAACTTTAGGTATCCAGTCTACCGTACCCGCGCCATTCCCCCACGACTCCCGCGACGTCGTGGGGGAATCGCAATATATACGTCCCCACGCATCGAGAGGGGGGAGGGGGGGGGAGGAGACACATAATATTCTAAGACCTACGCGAGGCGACAGTAAGACAAATTAATACATCGGTTATTTAATGGTGTAAACAAAGCCATTTTATTATAAAAACCGGACGGGGCTTACACAAAAAGACATCCGGGGCCTGTTAGATGGAGTTATTATACTTATGTTAACCTGGCACGCGAAATGCACTTGGAGTAGTTCTGTGATCTCTTCCCTGCCGTCCTGACACTAAAGGGCACAAGTGCACTTACGTTGTTCTGTATTCGGCACCCCTTTGTACAAAAGTTTACCCCCAGACACCCTAGTGTTAGGAGGATCCCCCCAAGTCCCCCCTTTCTAAAAAAAGTTGTAATATTTCATTTTACGAAGGTTTAGACCCAACCGTGAAACTCGACTTAACCGGTCTCTGATCTAGATTCCCCATGTCGAGGATTTGTGGGTATAGCTTTCTAGCCAAATTGTAAAATTCCATTAGTTTATTAATACACCTGTCATTGGTTATTGATTGTATACCGGTTATTGTTCCATTTACATTGAATAAAAATAAAACAAAAAGTAATAAAGAATAAAATGGTCAATTGTACATGAAGATAAATACGTATAAGAAATTAGAGAGGTCTAAATTTGGTTATAAAGACCAAAAATACAGGATATCGTACGTGTACCTTTACTAAAGTTTGGACAAAAATTAAATGGAAGGGTTATTAATATTTTCAAACGGAGAGAGGCTGTAAATTTTTTAAACAAATGTATTTAACAATTGTTTGGCAAACTCTCGGGAGACTCTATTGAATCTGATTTCACTTGATAGATTTGTGAGTCAGGACAATGGAGTGACTCGCGGAGGAGTCAGACAGACCGATAGAGTCAGGACAGGTCTGTCGACTATAGACAGGACACACACTCGACCGCGGACTATTCGGTTGTAGGGGGTGAAAGTAGCATGTCCCGTTTACCTTTGACATTGGCCCCACTTTTCCCACAATAGAACTGAATTATACTTACAACAATGTAGTCCGACTTTAAGCAAAAAAACATAATATAAAGGTAAATTAGAACACCTGCTACGTCTAAGGGGACGAGGAGGTAGTCCCTCCGCGACGCTCGTGGGAGTCGTGGGTGATGAAGGGTGCCGGACCGTTGTCTCCGTTCTGTGGTCCTGGTTTAGTCCTCTCAAACGTAACCTTTATTTTCACACGACACTAGTAAGTTCGAGCGACCGAGGACACACCACACACGCCTTTATCGCGTAAATCACACACATCTTCTCTCCCCCCTCTCTCTCTCCCTGGCCACGGTGCGGGTCGTCCGTCCCTGGCACCAACAATCCGTAGACCAATCGATTCCGAACGTGATTGCCTGTATGTCTCGACAAACCAACGGTGTGTGTTCGACCTCCTCTTCGAGAGGAGAGTCTGACTGTCCGAGTCCACTTGATTTCCTGAGAGACTCTTGACAAATCTGACAATTGTAAATCAGATTCAATAGAAGTCACCCAGGAGTTTGCCAAAACCCTAGTTTTTATAAATTTGCTTATATTAAAGGCGTGCACCCGTGTGTGAAATGTATAACTAGGTTAATATCTATATATTTTTTATTTCTCTTATTCCTTTTTGTGTAAGTACTTTTATGATATACCGTCAATTTTGTTACTTATGGTCAACTTTCCTACCACTAAACTTTTTATAGGTATTTCTTTTTTCTGTGTAGACGAATGTCAACCACAAGTAGACCCTACAACTCTTCTACATAGGTTATCTAGGTAATTACATACTGAAGTTTCACGTTCTAATCGATAAATTGAAGTTATAAAAATTTTTTGAAGGTGCCCCTCGTAGTAGGGCCTGGGGTGAATCTCTCTCCACTCCAGGCGGTAGGGGTGATGCATTTTTTATCGTTGTAAATTGGGGACTGTATATACGGCACTCAACTAATAGCTCGGATAGTAACATTGTCTACGCCTCAAAATGACACACTAAAAAACTCGGTCCTTATTACTCCTCAAAAAATACACGCACGTAGATATCACGGGCATTATCCATCTCTACCGAAGCATTCTTCGTATTAAGTTTCCAGACCTCTCTCTGGATCCGGTCTGAGCGTCTAGAGTTGGTGTATCTTTAGAAACTCCTAATCTTCAGACATCTATAGGGTGCGCTGTCTGGGGTTTTGTAGAAACACAGTCTGCTTAAGCTAAAACCACACAAACAATTATATGTTTTTATGTTTTTATTGAACACACCATGTAAACATTCACAGTGCAGGGTGGAAAAAGTATGTGAACCCTTGGATTTAATAACTGGTTGACCCTCCTTTGGCAGCAATAACCTCAACCAAACGTTTCCTATAGTTGCATATCAGACCTGCACAACGGTCAGGAGGAATTTTGGACCATTCCTCTTTACAAAACTGTTTCAGTTCAGCAATATTCTTGGGATGTCTGGTGTGAATCGCTCTCTTGAGGTCATGCCACAGCATCTCAATTGGGTTGAGGTCAGGACTCTGACTGGGCCACTCCAGAAGGCGTATTTTCTTCTGTTGAAGCCATTTGTTGTTGATTTACTTCTGTGCTTTGGGTCGTTGTCCTGTTGCATCACCCATCTTCTGTTGAGCTTCAATTGGTGGACAGATGGCCTTAAGTTCTCCAGCAAAATGTCTTGATAAACTTGAGAATTCATTTTTCCGTCGATGATGGCAATCTCTCCAGGCCCTGAGGCAGCAAAGCAGCCCCAAACCATGATGCTCCCTCCACCATACTTCAAAGTTGGGATGAGGTTTTGATGTTGGTGTGCAGTGCCTTTTTTTTCCACACATAGCGTTGTGTGTTCCTTCCAAACGACTCAACTTTGGTTTAATCTGTCCACAGAATATTTTGCCAGTAGTGCTGTGGAACATCCAGGTGCTCTTTTGCAAACTTCAAACGTGCAGATCAGAACACATTTTATGACCAACTTATGCAGAAATCCAGGTAATTCCAAAGGGTTCACATACTTTTTCTTGCAACTGTATATATATATATTTATTGTTTTCCTGCCCTAACTTTTATTACATTTTTTCTCCTGTTTTCTTTATTTATTTGTACTCCTTCATTTCTATACGTTTTTGACGCAATAATGCCAATGTTGTATTAGGATGATGCACGGGAGGGCTACTTTCCATAAGCTATGCTTCAGCCCTCCCGCTTCTACTCATTTTGTTCATCTTTGTGTGTATGAATTAGCAAGACAGGTAGCCTACTTAACAGAGTATTTCTACAGTGCGGTATTATTACTTTACATAAGATAAAATACATATACAGTAATACATATCTTAAGTATAATATCTAAGTACTTCTTCCCTCTCTGCTGACAAGTAAAAGGCAGTAGCTTTTGTATTCTACAAATCGATATTCAAGTTTGTCTTTCATGTGTTCAAACCTATGGTTCAAACTAACGCCAAGTGTAATAGAAATGTGACGCTCTTATTTCCTTGTAGAGCGTGACATTAGATAAACGAACGCACCCCCTGACGCGTCAGGGCAATCTCCATGGCAACTGGACAGCAACAGTACTTGATAAAAGCTGCCAGCTAACGACAGAGCGGAGGATGGAGAAAGTGACACCTAAAAGAGTTTTTATCAACAACATAGACTCTTATGCTTCCAAATGTGTTGCTAAGGTAAATATATTTCATCGTGGAACGTCTTAAACAAGTGAGTATAGTTTGTAGCTAGTGTTAATGTGAGTTACTGTGAAGCAACAGGGTGAATTAATGGAGGAACGTTAGCACGCTGATGAGCTTTTCTTCGCTCAGCAACATGAACAGACTAACATCAGTCATAGAGAACTCATCTTCTGATATTATTACACTGTCAGTCCTGCACATCCCTTCGAATTTTGAACATTGTACAAAAAGCTACTTCTTTTAATAAAAATAATAATAAAGGGTTATTTATATAGCACTTTCCATACCCCAGGTGCAGCTCAAAGTGCTTCATGGCTCACATTACAGTTTCAAACAGAACGAGGAATTCCCTTCAGATCAGATGTAAGAGCTGTTTTTAAACATGCAGCATATCAATATAATATAACATTTATAACAGATATGAGACACAAGTAAGTAAAAGGTATGGTAATACAAATATAATAAAGATATATAATGATCCCGATCAGACAAATACAGATGACATACTTCAAAATGAATAAATACAATTACATTTAAAAACCTATAAAATGAAAAAAATAATATAACAATAATAATAATAAAGACTTAAAAATAATGAAATAAAGATTAAAAGACCAACTTAAAGATTAAAATTGTAAGTCAATATCAAGTTGTGTGTGGATACCTGCCTGGCTTTCCACTTTTCACACCAATACTGCACACATTTTATTTTGATCTATTTCATTTGTACAAGTATTTTGTTATATTATACTGTACGTTGCTTTTTGATATATCTATAGTTCATGTACATATTGCTCTATTTTTAACGTTATAATATCTTAATAATTATGAATAGTTGTATTTGTTGTCCTTTTCCTTACAACTGATCTGCTCTGACTGTGTTATGTATGCACCATGTACACCACATTTCTTGTATGTGTTAACCTACTAACTAACTAACTAAATAACTAATGAACCTGGAGCAGTTTCTGTGTGAGTGTGTGGTGGGAGCAGCTGTGGATCCTGATGCAGTGACTGAGGAAGAGGAGGAGAGGAAACCCCACAGCGGGGCACCAGCGTTTCAGGTTGTTGGGACAGTTTCTGACACGTGTGACGAGGACAGACCTCATGTCCTGGAGGAGTATAAGGTTAGTACCTGAACAGTAGCAAGTTCCCCCACAGCAGAAGTGGACATCAGTAACTCACAGAGGGTCAATGTCTTACATCTCTCTCCCATGTCTTGTTTGCACGCCAGCACCTGAACAGGGAGGAGCTGCTTTCAAAGTTGATGGACTGTGACGTTGTCATCTACAACATTACCCAGCATGCCGAGCAGCTGGAGGAGGCCTGCTGGGCTGCTTCAGGTACTGAAGGCGTAGTAATCATTGAGACGACTGTTCCGCTGTATGTGTATAGCTAAATGAACACAGTGTTAAGACTATGCTAGCTTTTCTGTTTCATTTTCTACTCAAATGTCATATAAAATATTCTGTAATGATTCATTAAGGTACTATTCCTTTCTGAGTGTACTATTGAGTTGACTTTAGATTTGTAGCATTTAGTTTGCTACTTGCTATATAGGCTGCTTTAAAGACAACTTATGAAGCCTATACCTTTACAATATCATGTAAACCAGTACTCACTGCAGGAACAGTGCCCATTACTCTCGTTTGTATAGGCTAATAGTCAGATCAATCTTGTTTATTCAAACAGTATAGCAGGTTGTCTGCAGCCTACACCTGAGCAGAACCTTCAAAGGGTTTATATATAATAATGACAGATGAATGAATGAGGTCATGTCTCTTCCTGTATTATATCTTTAGCACTCCACAATAAAATGGAAGGTTTTTCTAGAGCGAAGATGTTCATCCTGGTCTCCACGGTGATGACCTGGGCCTGCAGCAAGCCAGTGGATCCTGTGAGTGTCTCCTCTTCCCTAACATGTCTTTTGTCTTCTTATTTTGACTCCACATTACCTGGCCTTAGGGCTGGAATGCATGCATGCATTCATACGTTTCATTTGATTATAATTCTGTTGAATAAAAACGTGTAATTATCTCCAGTTCCATCATATGTAGAAACAAATGAACTGCCCATCACAAACAACTTGTTTTGAAGCTTACACTGATCGTGTGTGACAGAGAAAAACACAATACATAACAGCAAGTGTTGGGTATTTGTTAAATACATTTCCAAAAAAGACTTCAGTACACTTCAAATAAACGTAAGAGCCATGCAGACTTTATACATCTGAGTAGCTGTAATCGGTCATTTGTCCATACAAACATGCACTTTGATGCTACAGTAACCCACTGAGTTTATTTGCACATGTCCCAGCTCTGTAGCTCTACTCCAGTTGGATGTTCAAGATGTACCAAGCTTCCTGTTGTTGTGTGACAGGATGTTCCCTTCACTGATGAGATCTTCTGGAGAAGAAGAGCACATCCCAGCTTCAAACAGCACATGGACCTGGAGAAGATGGTGGTCAAAATGGGAAAGACGGTGAGTTTGAAACTCTTTTATGTTTGTATAGGAGACTCATGTGATGACACGTATAGCTGCTCCGTCACATTGCTGTTGCTTTCAGAACAGAACAATGTTCTCCACGTACGTGGTGGCTTCAGGACTTCAGTACGGGCTGGGAGAGCAGCTCTTCCACTTCTTCTTCAAGGTCAGATCTGTTGTTTAACATCTTGTTATCTACTCGACTCTACGATACAGAGCTGTTTCCATTTATCACTCAAACTAAAAGTGTGAGTTGGAGATGCACAAGTCTGGCCAGGTCCAAATGAGTGTTCCTTGTAAGTACAGTGCTGACTGATGGCTCTTTTCCTCATGAAAAAGTGTGTCAACAAAAGGTTTAGTTGTTAGGATTTGCACGTGTTGTCCATTGATGAATAAAAAGGGACTGTTTGTTTTCTGATGAGCCTTCCGGACCTTTCTCAAGGGTCATGGAGTATTTATTGATACTTAGCCCTGTGTCTAGATTGTAATTGCGGTGTAAGAGAAAATAAACTGTGGCTATCCCAAATCATGGCACACTGATTTTCTGATAATAAAATATGAAATAATCTTTATCATTAGACGTCGTGGCTGGGACAAGAACAGGAGATACCTGTTTTTGGAGACGGTATCAACATCGTCCCCACAATTCACATTAGGGACCTGGCGAGGTAGGACACGCATGCTCTTTGAGGTTATAGATTGCACAGAGCCCTGTTTTGTCAAATACTTTGAATGAGTATATGTTGTAAGTGAATTTGATATGATATAAACACTGTGATTTATTTGTTTTAAAGTGTGATTCAGAATGTGATTGAACATCAGCCCAAGCCGTATTACCTGCTGGCTGTGGACTCTTCCAACAACACCATGGAGGAGATACTGAAGGTGTGTGTAGCAGCTGGCCAAGAAATCCTCTTTCAAAAGTGTCACATGTCCCAGGATTCCAATAGCAAACACTTCATTATAGGGAAGGGGTGTCAAACTCAACGTAATCACAGGCCCCATCAGCATTATGGCTGCACTCAAAGGGCCGGTTGTAACTTATATATAAAATAATGTATTATATTTAAAAAATAAAAAATATTTATAACATTTTTTAAAAAAAGAGTCAAATTCTGAGAAAAGGGCACATTCTAAGAAAGAGACATATTTAGAAGAAAAAAAGTCAAATTCTGAGAAAAAAAGTCTAATTTGAGATGCATTGTGGTACATGTAGTTTATGGGCAACGTGCTTCATTAAATTATCATGTAACCGTATAATAAACATATTATATTCTTTGCAAGCTCCGGGCCTTGAGTTTGACACCCCTGTTGTTATAAAGCCTGAAAGAAAATGTGCACAAATAAAGCAATGTTACCTTTTTAATTACATTTGTGACTCAGTGAAGTATACTCACCTATATTTATATAAATGTCTGATGCTTTTTCTGAGGAACAGATGTAATGATTAGGGCCGGGACTCGATTAAAAAAATTAATCTAATTAATTACAGGCTTTGTAATTAATTAATCGCAATTAATCGCATTTTTAATCACATATAAATATTTGACCTGAGAACAGTGAGAAGCAATTGTTTTCACATGGATTTTAGTATACCATTGAATAATGACTGAATACATAAGCTTAAGCAACAAAACATTGTTTATTTTTTTCAAGGTGGTACTTAACAAAGACCAACAGAAAAGTGCAATTTTTGCCATAAAGTGTAGCAATAGCATATTTAGGAATATAGTACATTTCAGAGATTCAGGTAGCCTATAGGTAGGTAGACCTTCTGTAAACTATAACACTTTGTTTTTTAAGTAAAACACAATACTTTCAAGTACATTCAGAACATTGGAAACCCTGACTATTAGAAAACATCTCTCTGTTGCTTCAGAGGCCATAACAGACTTTGTTGATTTACCAACAGTTGATTTAAAAAATCTAATCAATTTCAGTCCAACTCTCTCAATAACCTTGGCCAAAACAATAAACAGTTCAACATAAAGTGCCAGTTGCACCAACAACGTAATAAATAGTTCAACATAAAGTGTACCA